CTCTCTCTCTCTCTCTCTCTCTCTCTCTCTCTCTCTCTCTCTCTCTCTCTCTCTCTCTTTCTCACACACATTCTCTTTCATCCATTCTTTCTTTTTCTCTCATACTCATTTTGTCTCTCTTGTTTCCTATTTCTATTTCGCCTATTTGTCCATTTCTCTCATGGTTCCAACTTCCATTTTTACACCAGTCTTTGTATTGTAATTAATCTTTGATACATATTTCGGTGTTCATCCAAAGACGAATCATGCATGATTTCTATGCCAGAAGCGCCGAAAAGTCGAATGTTCAGTCGAAATTAACTTTTCATTTTCAATCTTATGTGAAATAATTCTTTGCGCAATCTTAGTTCGAATGTATAAATTATACAACACTTACACACTTATTATTAAATATCAATTAAACGTGCAGATAAAAAAAGTTTAAACATAATGAAAAGAGAACTCAGTAACTTTCCTATTTTCAATATGTTTACACATATATTTACATTGCACATAGAACATAAAAGAACAGCTTCGATTTCAGAGTTCAAATCTCCCGAGATTTGTTCTCCGTAAGAAAAAAAAAAAAAAGAAAATTGATATGAAATCTGGTGTTTACAGCTTCAGTTATCTAGCAGTTTAATAAAAGAGAAAAGCGATATCAATTGATCTCCATTGGCTATATATTGTTTAGCTCTCCCTCTCACGCACCATTGTAATCGAAGCCATCGCGGACGGAAGTGTCCCTCTCGAGACATCCTGCTTGTCCTCGATAAGGACCAGCGGTCCCTGTCCTCGCTCCATGCCGGATCTGCTTGATGCTTCATCATGCATCGCGAAAGTTCGATGTCTCCTCTCTACTGCGTTATTTCAATTTGCTGTTTTTTCGGTCGGTACGCTATAGGATCGATAAGGGGTTGGATCACAGGAAAGAGAGAGAGAGAGAGAAAGAGAGAGAGAGAGAGAGAGAGAGAGAGAGAGAGAGAGAGAGAGAGAGAGAGAGAGAGAGAGAGAGAGAGAGAGCGAGAGAGAGCGAGAGAGAGCGAGAGAGGATGGAAGGGCAAGAAGGAAGGGGGCGAGAGAGAAGTATGCATGTATATGTTTTATGCGTATAAGTGTATGGTATGTATGTGCGTATATTGCGACGTTGGTGCTCCCGCGACAGTCGCTTTCTGGTGCCACGCCCAGGGAGAGAGAGAAAGAGCGCGGTCTGGTGCACACACAATATCGCACTGTGCGTAAGCGTCAGCTGCTGAACGCAACCGTTCGCGATTATGGCGGACTAACGTTAAATGCAACAACTTCGCCGGGTTAATGAGCTCCGCCGCGGCTCTAGTTTCGCGTTTTACCCTTTCGAATACGTCTATCGCATGGAATCACGCAATTGCTTGTACAAGGATGAGACCTTGAATACGATACCTTGCGCAATGTGCTGCAAATTTCAGTACAAATCAATAATTATATCCTAATTTTCTATGAATCTTTACTTTGATTTATTCTAGATAATTTCTTAGATAATTGATAATTAAAATTTAACAATCGTATTCTTGAAAAGTTTTTAGAGTGAATTGTCACTCTGAAGGTTGAAAATTGAGAACCATTCTTTTCCAAAACTAGCTCAATTTTCACTCTTTAGAATGAGATTCCATTCCAAAGAATTTAAGAGTAATTGTATAGCACATTATATGAAAAATTATGACAATAAATGTATCTGTTTAAGATTAAATTGAGAACATCGCTGTTTAGCGATGGCACCTGCACAGCGGGAGCACCATACGAAATTTTTGGACTTAAAAGGATAATCTAAATATGTGATTCCTCACATGAGAGAAATCTCCGGCACGGAGAACGAACGTATACGTAAAGATCGGTAGCCGATCGGCATACGATCAACATACACAAATCCGCTAGTAAATAGTTAATTATAACGGTAATAATAACAACAATAATAACAAGATAATAATAACAATAATGATAAAGATTCATGAGAATCACAGAAACAACGAAAGTAAAGAAACAAATGAACATACCGGTTAACGATGAAAATCAGTGGTTGAAGGATGCCGATCTGGGCGCAGAACGGAACGGCGGTGGATTCTACTTAATTACTTTTTTCTATTACGCGATATTTCGTACGTATTTCCGCAGCTGCGTTTCCCCGTACCTTTGTACTAGTTTTCTTTTATTTTTTTTCTTTTAACAAATTTCTCAACAAACTTTACGACGCGACTTGGAACATTTGAACCGACGATCGCGCGATCAACGTGGAGGCCGGTTTTTGATCATCGAACACGAGTCCTGGCATCGAATTCCATCGAGAACGTGAACTCGGTTGCCGGATTATTTGTGAACACTTGATAACTATAATTGCGATAGGAGATAAACAAATCTCGCGCGCGATGAACACACCCAGTGTCTCTCTTTCACTCCCACCCCCGACCAGCAGGACGCACTCCTATTTATGTCCCTCTATCTTTTTTTTCCCTCTCTCTCTCTCTCTCCCTCTCTCTCTCTCTCTCTCTCTCTCTCTCTCTCTCTCTTTCGTTTTGTCTTTGCTGGTGCCTCTTCTGCTTTTATTAAAGGATCTTCCAGCTGACGATCTCGTTGATCACGCTACCGGTTCCTCGTTAACGCTCAACTCTCGTTTGGTGATTTCGTTTTCTATCTCGCTCTCACGTTATCATGTGATGAAAAGATTATGCACCGTATTACGCGTCAATTCGTATTTTTGAATTATTGTGACGCGTTAAGTCAATCAGAGGGATTGTTTATCAAGAAGGATAAATGATTAGGAAACATCGAAAAGGTTCTTGAGGCAAGACAAGTCAGAAGTAACGAATTAACGGAGAACATAGGATTAAGGCTCCAACAAAAATTATAAGATCGGAAGAATGAGGAAGGATCGTTTCTCTGCTTTAGTTTTTTGGCCGATTTTGCCCGGCAAACTTATCTTCCCATACGATATCCACCTCGCGAGATCCACCTTTCGTTGTTCTATAACTTTCTCTGCGCGCAAAATTTCTTGTAATAATGTCACCCGAATGGTGAACGATAATGTCGCTCGATCGACACGTGGACGGGACAAAGCAGCAGCAACAAACTGAAAATCGTTAGAGATTGACGACAACAACAACGACGATGACGACGACGACGATGAGAGTAACGGCGACGACAAACGATACCGAATCGAGTGTTTTTCTTTTTTTATGCCGAATTGAAGAGTCAGAAATTAGGAAATATGCAAGCAAATAGTAAGAATGTTGCGGGTATAACGGTGTCTACAACGCAATGCCTTTATGTGGTGCGGTAACTAAACTGACGAGGTTGAGTCTCAATACCGACGGCTGCACCCTCCGGACGCCTGCCGCCGCCGCCCCCACCGTCTGGGGTTGTCTCGGGGGTGGGATAGACTCGGGGCGAAAAGAATCGCGAAAAAACTCTCGGTCGAGGGAGAGATTGGCGCCGATACACGCAGACGCTGTCGCCGTCGGTGAAAGGTGAAGGAGAGGCCGAGAGCAACGCAGGAGAAGAGGTCGGAAGGGATGCGAAGGCAGGAAGAGGTCGAGGGACGAAGAGAAGGGTAGTAACTGGCAGTGTGGAGTCGACGGTGCTGGGAAAGGGGTGGAATTTGCGCAAGCGTGATCCTCCATATACCGGCCGTTGGAGGGTTGGTTGGTTGGTTTGGTGGTTGGTTCTGTGTGCGTTGCCCCAATGCACATATTTCCAAACATTGAACGCGCATCGCGGCGCAGCTATGGAGAGATTTTTTTCAGTCATTATGCGCACGAGACATTCTCGTGATAAATGATGCTTGCCTAGGAGGGGGAGATGAGAGTCCTATTGATTAAAACGATCGTCCCGGGAGGAAGCTACCACCCTCGCGTCGGTCATTGCACGAGTAGATGCTGCTGCACGGATGTTCCACCGACTGGTTCAGTTTAAAACCGAAATCCGAAATGATCTTTAATCACATTCTTGTGAATCAATAACTAAGTGAAATTTCTAGAATTAGAGAGTCTTAATTTGGATATTTGGCACAGAACGTAGTTTGATTTTGTCATTTTGTCGGTTTTAAATTATACTAGAAATCGATCCATACATCAGATAATTTCTAAAAACGTTTATAGAATATTCTAAAAATGAACAAATATTCATAGAACGTTCATAGATATTCTATGAACGTTGTATGTTATCTAAGGATATTATATGTAATTTAATATGCTAAAGAGAAAGGAAAGAGATGGTTATCTTTAAGTTACTCAGAAAGCGTATACGAATAATCTGAAAATATAAATAATTCAAACAACGCGATCGCAATTATTTATAGATCGATCGATAGTTTACGCCGTTTACGGAAAAGTATGGGTCGACATAGAAACCGGTCTCTGTCGGACGATATTTCACTCGTCTCCGACATCTCCATTGTGAGAGTAAAAGTAGACGGAGAGAAAGGGTACTGTATAAGTGAAAGGTTCGAGAACATTCCATAAAAAAAATCGAGAAATTGGGAAAAGAGTGATGGAAATTTACGCAGAGATATTAGTTTACGAAAATTAAAAAGAAATATGAATGGAAAAGAAAAAAAAATAAAGATGTAAATATATATATATATATAGAGAGAGAGAGAGAGAGAGAGAGAGAGAGAGAGAGAGAGAGAGAAACAATTTCAATTAAGACAATAAATGAATCTTCCAAACTATTGAACCTATTGTTAGTAGTGACGGAGATTAAAAAAGGAAACAAAAAACAAGATACTTACTAGAAGAGCGCGAAAGAGTGCAGTTGTAGAGCTAAAAGCTAGTATCTGTTAACTGTAGCATAACATCCATCGCTAACCGATCGATCGAGCTACATTACGACGGCCGATCTTCGTGGGAGGCTGGCATGATTAATATCATGAGTGTATACGAACTTTTGAACAACCGTACATCGCCTCGATTATCAAGGGGAAAGGGGAGAAACCAAAGAGAAAAGGGAGAGAGAGACATAGAGAGATGGGGTGAGAGCAGTCATAAATACGCACGCGCCAGGGTTTATGCAATGGAGGGGTTGATGAAGGACTGAATTGCGCAAGCGTTGGACAGAGGGTGTAAAAGCTTGTCGGGAGTGCCCGTTCCCTCGGCAAATGGCTTTTCGATAATGCAAACGCGGCCAAATTTCATCATACAGCGAATCCCATATTCCATTCGATAAAATAAAATTACATTTCTCTTCCTCTTTTTTCCTCTCTTTCTCTCTCCGTTGCTGAAATTTTGTTGCTCATTGTGATGCAAATCGCTCTTAATTTGGTCACGAGAAATAATTTTTCGCACGAGATATTATGAATGTCGAGTCTTTTGCTATTCAGTCGATTAAAACTATGCAAAACGCTGTCTGAAAAAATTACACAAAATAAAACTCCATTGTGCGAATAAAATACATACCATTTTATTAAAAAAAAAAAAAAAAAAATTTATATTAAAAAATGGTTCAAAAATTACAACAAAATCATTACGATAAAAAAAGGCCTCCGATAGGCCTCCTTTATTTAAACTAACAATAAGATCTTCACACAAAATCAAGTTAGTATCAAATAGCTAACTAAATAACTCGTACGAACATGAGAGAGTTTAAAAAGTCCACAAAGTAAACGGCGAACGCGTTTATCTCATAGCGGCGATCTCATCTACGATCAGTGACCATGAACGATAGCGCAAATATATGTGAGGTCTATCGATCGCTTCTTTTTTATACACACATGCGTGGGTCTATTTGTTTCTGTAGCGTTAGGGTGTTCGTTAACGAACGATTTCTTAATGAGTCACGTCATGGATGAAGATAAGGATCGATAAGTATCGGATGCAAAAATATATACAGAAATGGTTTTCGTTTGCATTACATTTCGGTATTACAAGATATAAGAGATAGACGAATGGCGTAGAGCAAAGGAGCGCCGTTGTGGAACAAAGGAAATAAGAGAGAAAGAGTCATTGGGGAGAAGCGAAAAGGGACAAGGGAGACAAGGGGTGTAATCTAATGGTAAATAGCACGTATGCATATAAGGGTCAGTCGAAGTGCGTCAGTGGCGTAGGAGATTGAATACTGCTTATCAACGTTCATGAAATAAGCAATTTTGATAAAAGATTTTGGATTGGAATATATTAACAGAATAAATGTATATATAGAGAAACATATAAAAATATAATCCAATCTCAGTATCAATTTTTATTGATATTATGCTTCTTTGTATATATTTATTATGTTATAATATATCCAGATTTTCTACATAATTCAAAAACATAAAATGTTATTGTAATATCATAATAAATTATAATTATAGTCAATTATTATTATTGTAATATCATATATATACATATATATGTACACTAATTAAAATTCTTGTTTCAGTTTACTAAAGAGTAACAAACAGTTATGTACAGTTTCAGATATTACATTTCTCTTCGTTATTAATTTATTATCATAATAATATTTTATTATAACTGTAGTGTTATATAACATCGTTTATATTTTAAAATTATGTAAAAAATCCGATTTAATATGTGACTCGATTTTTTTTTGCTTTTTATCTTAAATTTGTACATTTGTATAAATTTGAGACACTAATAATAAATTTCAGAAAGAGAAAAAGAAGAAAAAGAGAAGAAATAACTTATGTACCAAAGTCTTGACATATTTAGAAGCGTTAGCTAGAAATAACTAATGATTGAACGATGAAAGAAACTTATGCCTATCCTTATATCCCCGTACTCTTTTAACATAACTTGTTACAATTATAGTCTCTATAATTTCTAGAATTATAATTTACAAGCAGAAGTCGCTGTACGTCGCAATCATGACGTTGATGTCGACATCGAAATGTCCTAAAGATATACCACATCGAATTGGCAGTGTAACCACTTGTAAAACTCACCGATCGTCAACGATCGATCGACGCGGGTTACAGTGGCCCACCCTACGTCTTAATCGCCAGAAGAGTCTAGACACCTCTTCCAGAGGAGGTCGCATAAATTCCGTGAGAGGACGGCGCAGCGGATAATTTACGGGGACGCTCGTCCTCTTTGTGCTCCCGAGTGTCCTGGGAAGACCGACGCGGCGCGCCCATTCCACCCCGGGCGACGGCCGCGCCTCCTTCCTACGCCACTGCGAGGGTAGACCG